ATTTGCTTCTTGAACTTCCAAACCTTCTACTTGAGCTGTCAGGCTTTCTTCTTGATCTTCTAAAGCTTTTCTTGCCTTTTCAGCTTCCCAATCTTTTCGCACGTCTGCTACCTCTTGCTTTAAGATGGGTAGAGTTTCACGCCATACCCCACTTATTTCTTCAAGCTACTGAACCATGTTTTGGATTTGTTCCACCATAGAATTCATTTTTGACATGGCAGCGGCAATAGAATCCATATTTTGAATGATAGTGGCCGAGGAGCGCAAGGCTTTGATACCACTGTTATGAAAAGTAAAGAAATAGGAGAGAGAAAGAGGAAAGAGAAAGGAAAAAGAGTAATAGAAAAAGAGAAGAATTAGAGAAGAGTAGAGGATCAAGAGAAACTGAATAATTTTCTAATCACAGTGCAAAACTGAGATTAAAAGAATGGCAAATACTTATTTATAAGCAAAAGCCCTAATAGATAAAATATCCTAATATTATCTAAATATTATCTAGATATCCTAATCTATCCAAATCCTACTAATATAATTAAATACTATCTAAATCCTAATAATATTTATTTAAACCCTATTTATATCATATTTAAGTATTTTCTTATTTATAGTTATAATTACATAACAATGTACTTGCTATAAACTGTCATTTCCTCACTGCAGCATCTCTATGCCTCTTTCGAGGAAGAACCTGGATTTCTTCAGTTTGCAACAGCAATAACATCAAATGATATTGAGGAAATACAAACATTTCTTGATGCAGCAGTTGAGGCTAGGTATCATTCATATTTATTTGGAATTCATGTAGATAGGAAATTCATCCTTCTGTTCATTCTCTAAAATATATCTTCTTGGGGTTGAATTGTTACTATTACTAGAGGGTGTTGCTTATGCAATTCACTTGGACTTCAATGTATATATCGTTATATTTTGGTATTTCCTCTGATTTGCAGTTGTGAGGGTTTAATTATCAAAACTCTATATCAAGATGCTACGTATGAACCTTCCAAGCGGTCACTCAACTGGCTAAAACTGAAGAAAGATTATCTTGACAAGTAAGGATGCAATATTCATTTCCTTTTTTATATTCACGTTATTAATTATTAATTATTTTTTATTGTTGTTTTGTTTGCTGGTTCTTATTTTCAGTATAGGAGACTCGCTAGATTGGTACCTATTGCTGCTTTTCATGGTCGTGGGAAACGTACAGGTGATCTTTTGGTTTATTCTTATGAAGAGCAGATGTTTGTTTGTGTTCTTTCTCTTCTTTAGGACAGTTGGCTCCAGTGTTCCGCCTCATGTTAAAATGAAGCCAAGCCTGGCTAACCTTTGTATTCTCTCTAGTACTTCTGTCGTATGCTTTTGGGTTACATTTGCATTAAATGAATGGTCATGATGACTACTCTGTAGGGGTCTATGGAGCTTTTCTCCTTGCTTGTTATGACAGCAATAATGAAGAATTTCAAAGCATTTGTAAAATAGGTCAGTTTCATCATTTCAAGTCAATACCCTTGGTATGTTAGAATTAGTTCTGCTTCATAACTTTCATTTTACGCTGAGTAGGCACGGGATTCTCAGAGGCAGTTCTTGAAGAACGTTCTGCTAGTCTTCGTTCTAAAGTGATTCCCAAACCAAAGGTCTCTCTTTTTCTTCTGTTCATTCTCTCTGAACCCGGTTTGTTTATGTTCTGATTAATAATGTATGACTGTTTTAAACTCGCTTCTTAATTGCAGCCTTATTATCGATATGGAGAGACAATCAATCCTGATGTATGGTTTGAAGCCTCGGAGGTGCATGAGTTCAACCTTCCTTGATAATCTGCATCCTTTTTTTGTCTTTTTTTTTAATTCCATTTCACTTGTGTGCTATTCCACACAGTTGTCTGTGCCTATATTTTCTGGCATCTAGATGCTAAGAGGATCTGATTTCACATTGTGATCAAGTTTTCAAATTTGGTGATGTATGGTCATGTGGTTTGAGTCCTTGGTGTGCCATATTTCCACTAATCATAACATATAGTATGAATGCATTTATGTTTTCATTTTTCTTTTTAATTATCTCTGGGAATTTGGATGATGCATTTCATTCAATGGCATTGTTTTTTCTATATGTATATTTTCTTAATAGGCACCTAGCATGGTAATTTAACTTTCAGGTAATAGATGAACTAGTGAAGGTGACGTAAATTGTCTAATTATATTTACCATTTTTTTTGGTAAATAATATTGAGAAGAATCAAGAAGCATGGACATCGATATGACATGAACGCAAACACAAAAGTGGTGATACAATTAAATTTCCCTCCTGGTGCAATTTGAAGTCTTGCTTTGTGTTTGATACAAGTTTTAAACACGGCCAGGCATGACAGCTTCTTCTATGAAGTGTCCCTTGCATGACAGCGATAAACCTGAGATGTTTTTTCCAAAAAAATAAAAAATAAACAACAACATTGACGGGAACTCTTGAATGCGGTACCTTCATTAATGCAAATCTTTTTGTTATCACTCATGTGGCTTTGTTTCTTACAGGTGTGGGAGGTGAAAGCAGCAGACTTGACCATTAGCCCTGTTCATCGTGCTGCAGCAGGCATAGTAGATTCGGATAAGGTACAAACAATGCATTGATACTGGAGTACTTAGAAATTTTCATTTCACGGTGTTGTACCTGTTATCAATGGTTGAACTTCTTATAGACGTGTCTTTCTTGATAAAGGGCATTTCTCTTCGGTTCCCTCGTCTAGTTCGAGTTCGGGATGACAAAGCTCCTGAACAAGCCTCATCATCTGAGATGGTAAAGAAATATCTTGTATTCTGACCGGTTAATTGCACATGATAGAAGATTGAGATAAGAGCCACGAATTCTTCTGCTGTGTTCGTCTCTTGCCTTAGCTTATCAATCTCAAGGTTTTAACTGATTTTCAGGTTGCTGAAATGTATTCTGCCCAAAAGCATAATCACCCAAACAACCAGGATGATGAAGATGATTGAGAGAAGTTTTCTTGTTCCTCACAAACGAGATGGCGTTCATTAAAACATCAACATCTGATATGCAAATGCAAATTTTTTTGCCCTTCAAGCATCGGGCAGGGGGCAAAATTGCACATCTAACATTGAGTAAGATCACGGAGGCTTCGAGCCTCAGTGTATACATTAGGCATGATGTGATATGGGTTTTGTAATTTGTCATCATTTACTTGCTATCTAATTTCGAATATCTAATTGTAGAACATGTAAATCATCCGTCAGATTGTAGATACTTTTATCTCATTTGTCAGGAGCCATGTGCAAGTAGTTTCGATTGTCCAGAAAATAATAGATGCCCATCGTGTTCCTTCAACATTGTGCTGCAGTACAGTTTTTTTTTTTTTTGTGGGTACAATGCAGTAAAGGTTTTCAACTAGCGTTGGCAAATAGTAGGTGCTTAGACATTTCGCAGTTGGCCCAGCTATAAACCCCGACTGTCTCTATTGTAGCTTATCTGCCAAGTGATTACCAGGGCACATTCGGATGCTGTGGAAGATCGATGGGACTTGCTAATTCTAGAAGTCGCTGTTTGAAATATTTATAAAATCAATCCCAGGTGTCTTGTGTTAGCCAGAGTAGCGTGGGGAGAGAAATGGACTGGGTACAATGACTGTGGTGCTGGAGACACCTAGGTATTCGCCTGCCTAATGTTTTTGAACAATGTCTGCACTACGTAACATGGCGATATTCTTCAAGCCTCCACGCTTTCTGGCATGAGTCGACCTAACTGTGTTTGAAACCCCTTTTGGATTCCCCTGTGCTGTGTGTAGATTGCGACTTCTTGTGTATCATTTGTGGGGTTTTTATTGGTTTTTTGCCATGATTCGAAAGAGGCCCATGCGCTACGTTCTTGAAACCGTTGTATTGACAAAGGTTGGAAATGTTTAGGTTAAAGGAGGGATGAGTAGCGCCATTTGCGGACGGTTTCACTATTAGGGATGTGGCTCAGCGTATTTGTCAGGAATTTGCTGTTTGTTGCCGTCCTGTGCAAGGATACATTGACGTAATGCGTCTAAGCAGAGCTAGCTGGATGAGACTTAAGAGTTACACCGTTTTTCCTTCTTTCAACAAAGAAATCAATTTACTTGAAAACATACGGGTCAAAATGCCCTTGCCTTTGAGGTTCCTCGTTACTGACATGGCAGAGCTGTTCTGTGACTTGTCTCCCCTCGACAAGATTTTATCCGTGTCTTCTTTCTTTTACCCGCCCTTAACCTCGACACCTTCTGTAACAAGTAAGAACACCGTTTCGCTTGCCGCAGTTGTTTTAACATGCCCAGGTTCCATCCTTCCTCGGGATCCTTAAATTCCCAAAGTTGGACCAAGACATGGGCACTTCAGAAACAAAAGGCTTGTTCGGGCGAAATATACGAAAATTGGGGGACACGCTACGTGGTGCTACAGCGGCAGTGAAACTACCCCATGTTTACTGGATACCGATGCTTCACACTTTTCTTTTTCCGGCCGAACGATACAATTTAACTTTTTCATCCTACCATCCGGCATACAACCTTTGTTTGGTGGAATCTATGATTTTTTTATTTCCTTCGTAGCCATGCTTTTCATCGGATATGATAGGCAACATGGAGATTATTAGTCAACATTATCTGCTCCCGTTCGTACACGGAGAAATATTCGCGCGCTCGTAAAGAAAGCATAAACCGGTTGAGTTGAGTGGGAGCAGATACCAAGAACATAAAGAATTGCCTCAAAGAAATAGTAAAACTAAAACTAAAGAGAGAAGAAATAATTTAAAGCAACATAAGATTAGACTTAAATCATGATAGCTTTTGCAGGATTAGGCTTAATATATTCCCCCCGTTTAATATTAGTTGCTGCCAAAAACAATTTTTACAAAAACTAAAGAGATCATTGAATGACATGAGGCTTTGTAACATTAATCTACTTCTTTTCTAGTATGTCTTTAAGTTTTCTAAATTTTTAGAATCTGAAATTAACAAATATTATGAGAGATGAGAAAACAGAAATATTTGTAGTAAATAACATGAAAGGGAGAGAGTAATCATACACTACACTAATAACAGATCCTGATTCTGATTTGTGGGTCCTCATAACCCGACAAGCAGGGCTCAAAACCTTCCCTTTGGTCGTTGGCCGCAGTCCCACCCATCTCCCAATCCCAACGACTCCACACCCATCCCTCCCTTACGGATCAATCTCACACAAACATCCACACACACTCTCATCACTTGCTGAGCTAAACTATCTAATTAGTTACATTGCAGATTCAGAGAAGGCAAATCAAAACTAAATGTGAAGAGGCCAAAATGCCCATTACATATTCTTCACCCAAAATAAAATTGCCTCAAAGCCTATGTCTTAATTAACCAGTTAAATCCGAATAACTTCCTCTCTAGAACAAACCACTGTACAGATGCTAGATCAGTCACATACGGCACGCCCAGCTTGCCATTTTCAATTCCTTGCGCTAAAGTTCTAACCTTTGATCCTATTAACTAGTAAATATGCAAAATCATAAATTAATTGGGCAAATCTGGCGGTCAAGGGAGTACAACCCTTTGGTACTTGGCCTCTGTAGGATTCTCAGAGCCCTGACAAAATGCCCTCTTTCTACTAATTCTTCCACAGTTGGTCGGAGTGCTGCTAACACCGTTAGTATGGATAAAGGAATCTTGGAGGAGAAGCTGCGGTGGTAATGATGGCGGCGGCGGCGGTGGTGAAGGAATGGTGACCGGAGGAATCTCGAAGGAATCAAGTGGGGGTGGTGGGTGTCTCCATTGAGGAAGCGGTCCCGCCAAAAGCAGAGTCTGAAGCAGAGGGCCTGCTTTCATCACTGCCTGCAAAAGCTTGCCTTTTTCTGGTAATGGCTTTTCAGGAGCCAACTCAATCATGGATTGAGTCGCCGTTAATGGGGGTGCTGGTGGCAATTGGGGTTGAGGGAGATGGTCAATAACTGGAGAAGAAACAATACTTTCTTCACAGTCTGATGAAGAGAGGCCATTGTTGGAGTCAATTCCCCTTCTGGGTTCGTCTTCAATGCTGGAAACTCCAGAAAGAGGAGCTTGTTGCTGCTGCTGCAAAACAAGCTTGTCCAACAGAAGTTTGTGGCATTTCTCGCGCGCTTCGTCTCTTTCTTTAATGGTTTTGTTAAGCAGATCCTTGAGATTGACGAGTTGATCGTCCCTCTTTCTGAGTTCCTCATGTGCTGCGGCCTTTGTTTCTTCCAGCTCTAGAGTGGTGTACAAGAGGGACTGCCTCAGTTCGTCCATTGACTGCATCATCATAGTTATGCATCAGAGAATCAACAATTAGTCCCCAAAATCCAAAGAGAACGAACCCCATTACACATTATTAAGGAGAAAGTAAATGAAGAGAGCAACATCAAATGGTAACAACAGAACTACAGAAGGATAAGACGAAAGTAGGCACCTTTCCCTGCCAGAAGTAAGCCCAACTAAGCTGAGGGCTGCGTTGATTGTCCATGCTCTGAATCTCAAAGATGACAAATTAGATGTATTTTCAGCGAGAGAAGAGGAGAGCAACGAGAGGGAAGAAACAGAATTAGGGGGATCTTGAAAAGTGCTTCAGCCTGATTACTCAATATATAAGCAGGAATCCGGGTTACTGTTGCCCTTGTGGGATAGACAAAAGCATGATAATTAAATTTACGGCTTTCTCAAAATATGTCTCCTTTTTTTATATATATATTCTAAAATTTCCATTTGAACTGCTTCAATTTTCTATCAACAAATCATTGATTTTCACACAAGGGCTCTTGCATGTTTTTATCATATTTGGAGGGTTTGAATTCTAGGCAGTACTTTATATACCCCCCCCCTATTATCCTGTAAATTCACTCTAATTGACTTAAATTATATGTATTTTTGAAATAAATTTATATAATTTATTTTAAAAGTTATATTAATTAGAAGACGGTTTTGATACTTATTAGATCTACGTCTAAATTTGGTCAGGAAATTTTAACCATATAATCACTCAATATTTGACAAGATTTATAGCGGTGCGAGTGCCATAACTTATAGTCAAATTATATAATTTTATTTTAGGATTGAATTTAAAGTTAAAATGTGAATAAAAATTATGAAACCATAATAATAGGTTTTTTTCCGAAACTTGAGAAAAAAAAATAGAAGTAAGGAGTTAATTTTGAGGAGCATGACACTAATGCATGAACTGGCGGGAGAGGGCGAAATTTAGGCATGAAAGTGGGAGCAAGAAAGCACTGGTCAAGCTTTCAATTTTCACCCCTTATTATTATTATTAATATTATTATTATTATGCGGCCAATTTCACCCCTTGCTACAAGTTACACACAACACATCTGAATAATTAATCATTTTTTTGAAAAAAAATGATAGAGAAAGAAATCTGAACTGGTCATAAAAGTCCTCCTCTTACCTTGTTCCCAATTGGACAGTTCATGGGAACTTCACATTCAGAGCAACAATTATAACAAAATTGAAAGGCTGGACGTGACATCCCATTTTCTAAGTCCCATTCTGCTCCAATCATTTTTTTTTCTTTTTGGGTTTTAATTGTTAACGGCAAATTTATGATAATATTTTAATAGAAGTAGAGGCAAGAGATAGAAAAATGTAATACGAATAGTAAAATGGGTAAGAAAAGTTAGGCTGTAAGTTAAGGAAGGTCACACACGTGGGCTGCGTTGGCTCAGTAAATCCAAACAGTAGTTTTTTTGTTTGTAATGCGCAATTCCAGAGAACGGATAGAGCCTCTCTTTGATTTTGCTTCTTTCTTCTAATCACTTCATATTTTTGTTTTTTAATGCCCCTTTCATTCACTTATTTTTAATTATTTCTTCCCATTACTTTCAAAATATTCACATGCTTCCATAGTGTGCTCTCCTTTTACGTTTTCCCGCAGGATTTTGGGAGGAAAAAAATACCACAAATTAAAGACGACCATAAAGGAGTTGTTATTATATGAATATGAAAAAACACGCGCGCGCAAACGTATATAATAATACAACCTTTTAAATTATTAGAGGGAAAAAAATGAAGAGCAGGGCAGAAATAAAGTGAGACTCACCTATCAAAGTGGAACACGTATAATATGTATATATGTGTAGTATTCTTGTTAGTGTTGAATGACTGATTTGCCATTTCCTGTGCATGGACAAGTGGGAGGGAATTGGTCTCAAATTTACGTGAATATGGAAGATGACTAATCTCCAAAGGGATGGGTGCTTAGGAGGAGGAATTAATTAGTAATTAAAGATGAATGGGGGAGGGTGGGTGTGACTCTTTTTTTTAACTTTGGCTTGGAATTCCGAGAGAATTTTTGTTTGGTAGCTTAAATAATTTTGTTTGCCGTTGAAATTCCCGCTCGCCCCCCGGGTTCCTCTTTTTTTTTCATTCCCAAATTTCTTTCAACTTTGGAATTACCCTCGTTTTTCAATTCAACCAAGCTGGCTATTTTGAAGCATGTTGAAACTCCCCCTACTTTTTCAATAAAAGGCGTTTTATTTTGACATTATCAGCCACTTCTTATATGTCGTTTTTCACATACCCCTCAACTACGAGTCTCGGTGTTCTGCCCAAAAGATATTTATCTGATTCTTAATGAAAAATATAATCAATTAATTTAAATAAATTAAAAATGTTAATTCAATTAGTTAATATGACATGTTTCTCTCTAAATCATCCCAAGTGTCTTTCTTAATTCCCTCCCTTTCTCTACCATTTCATTATTATTGAGAAAATATCAATAGTGTTAATTTAAAAAAAATTATAAATATGTAAAATAGGTCTTACATATAAGGTTAACATTAACTTCTTAATCAGATCCTACAATAAGGATCGGATAAGTAATTTTTAATAAGAAAAAAGTGTACTTGCACTGCCCATTTTCTTCACTATAATTCATACGGTATCTTACGTTTTTGTCTTCAAAATTCTTGAGTAATGATTATCGTATTAGACATTGCCCTTTTCTTCGTTTTTCTTTCCTTTTTAAATCTCACAAAGCGCATAAATGATAGAAATGGGAATCGGTAATTATATATATTGTGCTGTGTCCTGGCCTAAACTTTCGTACATACAGAGGAAATGGTCATTGTCACAAAAACGAAAACGAATGGGATGCTGAGAGAGCATGCATGCTATGTTTGACAATTGAACCCGAAATACGTGTCATAAAAAGCGTGAAAAATCATATGCCTAATTTTTTTTTAAAAAAAATGAATGAATGAATAAATAAATAAAAAGGTACTAATTTTTGACTTGAGGTGTGCTGCGTGTGTTGTGTGGAGGAATAGAGGCCTAAACACTTGTAGATGGTGGCATCGTCAATGTCTATTTCACCCATCTCACTCATCCGTAACACTGCACAGACATACACATATCTGTGTAATGCAAATATCTCCATGAAGGGTCCAGGATTAATTAATCATCGTTTTTTAATTGGTCCGGGAAAAAGGAGCCGGTAACCAAACTTTCCCACCAATATTTGCCCAAACAAAAGGCCGTGGGCCCCACCTCAGACCATCAAAGTCCTCGCGCTCCCCCCTCACCGCATCAACGCCCTTCCTTCCTCTCTGCATAATCATTTCCGACTAATCATGCTATCAGCGATTTAATTAGGTTTAGGATAACCTCTAACTCATCTATGATCCGTATAATATACATAAAAATAGGGATAAAAGCTAGTTCTACTGATATAAGGAGAGTATGCCACATGGAAAGGTGACATTTTTGTACTTGTAATGTGGATCGCCTCTTTTGATTCCCTAAAGAAATTAGCTTCTTTTTTTTTTATAGCCGATTTTAATTAATAGTTAATAATGATATGGCACTGGATAAAAGGAAAATTTGAGATTGGAAAATCATAAATAATTGAAAGGTTACATTTCAAACAAACATATACGGCGTAATTATAAATAATCGAGGATCATGCTAACATTATATATCTGTATAGTAGTACAGAAGATGCATATATTTCCAGGTTAAAAAAAGAAAGAAAGAAAGATGCATATATGAGGATATGACACGTGGACAATTTCATGCTCCGAGACATGCCGTTTAATGATTGATTATTATTATGAGGACCGTGGCCGTTACCCCTATGATGAGGGGGTAATTAATTAATTAATTAGTTACTCCTGCTCACTTGTGCCTATACATCCCTGTTGTCGCATATAGGTCACCTGCTTGCTTGCTTGTAGATATTAATCTCACTTATTTTAAAACAGTAGTACTGCCTGGTTTTTTCACTTCCGAGAAAGAGGAGGGTAAATCCAAACTGATAATACAACCCCAAACCCCCAAAAAGGAATAAAATGGGGCGCCGAACCTTTATGTCCCATCTGGGCTTCATTTGATTATTATCCCCATATGTGCTCTCTCTCTCTCTCTAAGCTTCTTTTTTTTTTTCAGTGTTTTTTTTTGGGCGGTTAAACTTTCTGTTGATCATCATCATCAGCGCGACTCAATGAATGCTTAAGGAAGCGGCAAGCTGAAGCATCAGGGGACTGATGATAATTTGTTCAAAGGACGCTTTGGTGAATATTAGTTCGATTGCTAGCTGGTGGGGAAGATGCCAGACAACAAGTATATTTATTTTCCAACCTTACTTAGCTTTTAGACTTCAGCTTTCATCTTTCATTACCACTGAGGTCCCAATCACAGTGAGTTTAGTGTTTAATTACTTGGAGCTAGCTACCCATATGTCCTTTTTTCCCTTCGAATGATGTGTCTCCTTTTTTGCTGGTTTGAATATACTAAATATACAATCTGATGAAGAAATACATTGTGGGCATAAAGATGTGGCATTACTATGTTGTCCACTTGCTGCATAGGAGAATTTGTGCAACTTTTGGCTTTTATGTTGTCCACTACGCCACTTAAAGCTTATACTACTTTATTTTTATATCAACTCCTTCATTGATTTTAGCCTTCTCACATCTTAACAAGCGTGCGATCTGCCGTTTTAAGTTCTGCTTGTTTTGACCAGAGAAAACAAAACATACCCGTATCTTTTGCTGATTTGTAAGGTGAGGCGTCGTGTTCTCCTCAAAACATTCACAAGATACGACCCTAAATTAGCTTATAATTAATAAGGATTGGACCCGTTTTGCTTTTGTAAGAGTTGAGAGAAGACAGGGCTTTGTGATTGTCTTCAAAGTCGTATCACATGTTATTGTTCGTGTTTGGCACGTTATGAAGCCATACTATGAAGAAACCGCGATTAATTTATTAATCCGAATACTTATTAGACTTCGCATGATACTGGCAATTAATTACGGATTTTTTTATTCACCCAATAACTAAAAGTCAAGAGCACGTCTATATAACTTGAGACCCATCAATCTATAGTTATTGATCTTTCGTAGAAATATGCAAAAAACAAACCTTTAGGAAAAGTAATGCAACATTAAGGAGGAGACATCACGCGACATTATCTTCTAACCTTTAATTACTAAAACAACTGCCCATTCTCCGTCAAGTTATCAATATTTTAATACAAAAAACATATGATATTATTGTTGTTGTTATTACCTCCGGTCCTATTTATAAGACCTCATTTGT